GACAGTCCTCCATTTTGACCAACCATATCCTTTGCCTGAATAACAAGCAAATACTGGTCTTTAGCCTCTCTATCCATGTTTGGAAGGGCAGTCTTGATGACTCCTGTAAAATTGCAAATCCCAGTAAAATGCATCATGAATCACTGCATTTATACTAACAGAGAACATTGATATAAGTAGCAAGCTGCTGTTGAGTTGTTGTCTTTTGTTGTTTTGTTTGTTTACTTTAAATAATTTAAATACACATTAAAGACCAAAGGCATATGATACATTTATACACTGTTACAAAACAGAAAATATAATGTGGTCTTCTCAATATTGGATATAGAGGATTATCTTTAGGTTTCATGAAAACATGGTTAAAGAAATAAGAATTATAAATAAATAAAATGGCCCTTTATCTAGAATAATGGGCAGTCACCTGTACAAGTACACAAAAATGAACTTCTCTTTCAGCCTTTCCAACAACTTATCACTCATAACAATTTATAATCAGTTTCTGAGTTAAGTAATACTCATGCTATCTTTAGGAACCTTATTTTTGTTTAGGTCTGAGCACACTAGTTTTCAAACATAAACTCACACACACACACACACACACACATACACATGTCAGCAACACATCATATTTTAAGCATTTAAATTACACTTAGGCCAGATTTTTTTTCCAACATTACTCAGTTACTCTAATACACTAACAACAATCAGATGCTCTTGCTACAATGAGAGCAATAAAGCCTCACTTTAATTAACACCTTCATTGAATCTTTTGGCTATTTACATACTTTATAATTAATCTGTGAAATATTATAGTAAAAATGAAAAAATAATGTACCCATTAGGTCCAGTTAGTGTCTTATACATAAATATTCGTCTTAGAGCCATAATGATTCTATGAATTTTTCATATTTGTTCTTGACTGCTTCTGTTAACTCTAATTTATAATAAAACATTGACTCCCCTAATACTCATTGTCATCAAACATAAACAATGTTTGACTAAGATTTCTGGGACATATATATCTCTACCTTTTTCTTTTCTTTCTTATTTTTTTTTCATGTTTATCATTTTTCTTTTTGCAATCCTCTTTTTTTTTGTAAATGGAGCATTGCTTATCTTGAACATTTTACCAATAAACATATTTTATCTGTATGAAGAATACTAATAAGATGAGTTATTTTTAGGAAAAATGTCCTATTTATCAAGTTTTAATTTTTTTTATTTCTAGTTATCTCTCATTTTTCCTCCCAATAGCAATATATGTGTGAGTTATCTTTGCACATTTATTATGATAGATAGAAGTACATGACACCTAATCAGCAAAAGAAATATTGCAGCCTCATCCTGTCATGGTTTTGCTTAGTGGCATCATTTTTGAAAGGAAATATAGTGTCATTAGAAATCTGGTAGTCAAAGTTTCTCACTTATTTTTCACACATCTAATTGTTTCTTATAAGTGATCCTATAAATAACAATTTTCCAAAGCAGAAGTTATCACAAAGTTTGCAAACTAATGCAGGTGGGAAAGGTAATTTCCAAATGTCTCAACTATTAGACATATTTTTGGCAAGAATGAAATAATTGGGAAAAGTTGAATTAAAATAAGGACATTCAATAATATATTTCTAGTCATATGACTTCTGTTAGCCTTTACTTTTAAGTAAAAATTGTCTACATTTGGCAAAGAATTCTGATATATTGGATTTTCTTTGCGTTTTGTCACTTATTACATAAATATATAGATACACACACAGCAAATTGTTAATACCATGTAACTGAATGGGTAAAGTCCAGTCTTGTCTAATTGAATACCTATAATCTGTGAGTTTTTCATGAAAGATAACTATTTATTGAAGATAACTATTTCATGGAAGATAATTATTTAATTTCAATTTCAATAATTTAGGTAACTTATGATGAGAAAAATATCTACCATTAGCTCTTTAGAAAAGATACTGGCTCAAATTTCAGGTTTTCTGAATAAGAGTTTTTCCATAGATATAAACATCTGACCCAGTAACTCAGAACTTTGCATTTATTTATAATCCATGTTCACAAAAAGCATCGTGCATATAAAACATAAACTTGTATTGCTATTGTTCAAAAACTGTTTTTAAGTCTGGGGAACAATATTCTGATGATTCTGTAATGTCCTACAAGCCACAGATAATTTTTTAAGCATATTCTGTTACCGTGGAATCTTCTTAAACATTTGATATGTGTACAACATGTAACGGGTAAGAGCGATTTCAAAATCTGCCACAGCTCAGGGAACCAAACAATCACTGGAGCACAGATTCTGCAAACTCAGGCTTTGAATTAGCCTGAGGAGTCTTGGCAACCACAGGAACCCAAGTAATGGGAGCTGCGGGTTTTCACGCCATGAGGCCTCAACCCGTTGGGATTCCCTCACTAAAACCATTATCAGTGTTTTTGGATATCACTTTGAGTGGACTAATATTCCAAAGGGAATCTCAGTATTGAAAAACCAACTTTCTCAGGGATCTAAGAAACTGAGGAAACATCTTAAGATAACCAGAACATGGATCATCTGCATTTATCCATTCCTGAAGCCATTTATGTTCCCCACCGTCTTGATCACACTTTTATCTTCTATAGCTACTCCAAGAGCTCTAAGACCATAGAATTAGAGATTAGAAATATCAGTTTCCTTATGGCTTGTATTTACTTAATAATATAATATATGTCAGAGGTAAGGACCATGAATGAAGTAAAGCCATTTGGTTTGGCCATCACCAAAAGGGAGCAGCCCACTGAAAGAGCAGCATTGAGACATGGACAGGAGAATCCATACATGAGAATAAGATAGTTTAAAATCTATGTAGGTTGTCTGTTTGTTTTGCTTTTAACAGAACTAACTCGATAGCTACTCTTGGTAGCTACTTTAAAGATGGCAATTTTTGTATGAATATGAATAGATGTAACTAGAGATGAGCTAAATATGTATTTATGTATTCAGTTTCTGCCAATATGCATTATTAATTTTTAAAAATATATCAGTGACACATATTATCAATATTAGCCTATTCTGTTTTACTTTATATCAATAAGTGTTATGTTACATGATATTTAGAAATATAGTACATATTCAGGAAAGAATTCCAATGTAATGTTTTGATATTAAAGGCATAATTGCATATTTTAGTGCAATGTGATAAGCCATTATTTTATGGGTGAAAGTAAATATTCCCCTATGCACATTCAGATTGGATAATGATCACTTTTACAAATTTATTCAGAGTCCTAAATACCACCTTCTTTCCTGGGGAGAGTTCTTGGTTGAGTAATTCACCAAGCACAGTAAACTCAACAACTCATTCTGTGATGTAACATATTGATAACCACTGAAATTTAAAAAGAAAAAAATCAAAACCTTACAGTATAAAAAGTTAACTAAAAATAGGCCAGGGGTAGTGGCTCATGCCTGTAATTCCAGCACTCTGGGAAGCCAAGGCAGGAGGATTGCTTGAGGCCAGGAGTTCAAGACCAGCCTGAGCAAGAATAAAACCCTATCTCTACAAAAAATAGAAAATTTGCTGGACGTGGTCGTGCAGGCCTGTAGTCCTAGCTACTTGAGAGGCTGAGGCAGGAGGATTGCTTGAGCCCAGGAGTTTGAGGTTGCAGTGAGCTATGATGATGCTACTACGTGCTAGCCCAGGAGACATAGCAAGACCCTGCCTCAAAAAAATAAATAAATAAATCACAGGGCAAAGGGAGAATGAAATGGACAAACATTCTTGGTATGTATATCCCTGAGACTTGAATTGTATTGAATTGAATTGTATTGGGGAAATAAGTATACGGGTTTACATTTAAAAATCCTATTATATTAATGTGTCTAATATAGTATAAAGTAATATATTACATATTTGTAGAATTATAGAGATGAATACAGATTAGGATCAAGCAAGACTCTTTCCTACAAATACAGACACTGAGGCATGATGGAGTAGATCCTGAACAAAGCAATTTTAACTTTTAAGAAAAATAAACATGATGCTTGAAAGTTAAATTTCAAAGGGACTAAGAAATTGGAATAAGGACAACAGTTTAAGACCTGTTTTCTCTTTTTAAAAATATCATTTGATGATAGGAGTTTAAACATTAGAATATGAATTTAAATAATTTAATAAAATAGGCAATAAAATCAAGTATGGTATTTTTATTACTGAAATTTATAGTAAATCAAATACGAAGGAGAAATGCATTGAACTGACTATGCAAGAACTATGTTGCTGATTAATTGAGAAAACTCTTAGGAGAAAAGAAAAAACTATTTATAAAACTAAAATCACAAAATTTTTGGATGTACATTTTATTTTACACATAAGATGTAAGTCTTATGTTAATAAGGTTATATTTCTTTCTACATTTTGTGGTGCAAGCTTTGTATATTATTTGGCTGACTATTGGTTAAGTATAGTGTATAACAGAACCATAAAAAAGATGAAGAACCAACAGTAGTAATGTAGTAAATTTGGAAGCTTCTGGATCACCAAAGTATTCCTCCACTGACAACAAATGAACAGTCATTGAGGAAGGGACTACTCTTGCAGTCTATGTGGGATGTTCTTAGCAAGCTTGATAGGAGCCAGGACCTTCCAGAACATGAGACGCATCCCAGAATGAAACGCGAGTGAATGGCATATTTGCGAGGGGTGATTTGCTATGATAATACTACTCACATAAAATTATGATTTAAGAAGCACACATGTAATATAAAATTCAGGTACCACATACTCACACTTCTTGTGTCTAAGGAAAAGTCCTAAATGACAAGTGATGTTTAACAATCAATCCATTATCCAGGGCTCGCTTCATGGCCATGTGACATGTGCAGTCATTTTGACTCCGTGCTTGGTTTAAAGTTCTGCTGATGACATCCTGAAATCCTTAATCATTTTAGAACAAGGGGCCTGCATTTTCATTTTGAATTGCAAATTATGTAGCCAGTCCTGTCATATATCAAATAGATTCAAAAGTGGGATCTATTTGCTTGCAGGTTACATCTTAAAATAATCCTACCTCCCAGTAAGTTTGCGGACGTTATGAAGACAGGTGATGAGAAACTTCACAGTCCTT